ATATAAATCCTGTATAATAATAATAATCATTTTTATGAATAGTGATTACCCATCAGGTGTCGTTCTTGATCTCTGGTGGGTCTGTATATTAGTAAGCATGTGTACTCATCTACAAGTTGTTTGTAATTGTGGAGTTTCTTATATCTGGTTTATTTTATAGTCAAGTATCTTTTTGCTAATACGTTTAATGGTTTTAATAAAATTTGTTTTTTTAATTTGTCCTCCTCCCCTTTTGGTCTCAATCCCTTTTCCATCTTTCCTTCTCCCACACTGCCCCCCCCCCCTCCCCCTATGGTACCACCATGTGTGGACTGAGGAAGGATGGATAGAGGGCGATTGTTGTTTTACATGCATTTGCGTACATTATTAGAGTAGAGGGTTAACAAGAGACAGGGAGAGAAGGCTATTCATCAGTTACATATGCGACTAGGGGGAATGGAACTTTTTAAATGTTTTTGTAATCTGTCTTCATCTCTATGAATAAGGCGTTTGGTGAAACATGTTAGAGTTGAACGAGCCTGTGTGTGCTTACAGCATGTTTTGACTTCGAGAATAAACCGTATCCAGCTTGTAAAAGTGAGATTAGTTTATCACTGCATCCCTTCACGGGAGCAAGACTGGAGAGCTGGCTACTGTACAACACACAGGGGACGTATCCAGCTTGTAAAAGTGAGATTAGTTTATCACTGCATCCCTTCACGGGAGCAAGACTGGAGAGCTGGCTACTGTACAACACACAGGGGACATGGGGAACAAAAGTAGCCACCCTCCAGAAGGAAGGACAGTGTCATCACCAATTCAGAGAAGATTTAAAGATCTACAGCCAGGTAATAAATAAGCTAATTTTTTTTTAATTGTTAAAGTAACATTAAAAGGATACATTCCCCCCACCCCCCACCCCATGTTAATGTCATCGATCTTCTTCTTTCCCTATGTTTTCATCTGTCCCTCCAGTGGTGCGGCGGCTCTCCGATCCAGCGCTGACTCCTCTCAGCTAGCAGGCACTTCTGATCCAGCGGTGTCTGCATGCGGATGCACGCATCCATAGACTTACCTTGCGTCTCTGCTCGTCTCCCGGCAGAGAATCCGAACTGTGCATTCGCCCGCCCCAAGATGCTTTGCGGCCGCCGGAGCAGTTTAGTTTTCTCGGACGGGAGCGCGCAGCCGAGACAAGGTAAGTATTAAGCGCTGTTAAAGCGGGTTTTTTTTCTTTTACTTTTTGCCTATATCTACTGCTTTATAGCAGTAGATATAGGAAAAAAAACGGGAGGGTTTAGAACCACTTTAAAAGGTACTTGAATGCATTTTTAAGTTTTAACTTTTGAGTTTAGTGTCACTTTAAGTCAGATGGCCACAACCTGCACATGTTGCGAAGTGCCTACAATTCATACAATGTAGTCGCACTTTTCCAGCACCAATACTACATTAGCACTGAATTGTGACCACCAAAAGACAGCGTGTGCTGATGCAACTGAACTTTATAAGGAACAGAATAAAAGCAGAAGTTACAATATATTTTTCTAGTCATAGTCTGTTGAGAACTCAATGAGTACTGTATATGCAGCTAAGTTTAATGAAATTCTGCCTGCACTCTGCATTCCTGAGGAGGTGATGACAATTTAGTACTGACTTACCACTAGTGTAGGAGAATCACACACTTATGATCCCCTGAGTTTATCACGCAAATAACACTTTCATAATACAGTCTATGATTTCTCTACCGGCAAGAAGATTTGCAGATGCAGCCTGGGAGAGCATAAACATTTAAATGTATGCAAACCGCTTATCATTTTTTTTTCTTGACCAGATTTATAAAAAGGGAAGTGTTTAATAATAAACATTTGGTTAGACTTCTTATCCATAACAGCCAAACACTAGCTGAAATGTGTAGTATTAGCTATATGAATCTTTATCATATTAATCACCATAACATGGTGTTTTTTCTAAATGATTGCTATTTGGTCATAAATCTGCCACAACTTGTGTTCTATGAGCACTCTGTAATAGAATCTTCAGAAAGGATTTCTTCCTATGAATTTATGACTAAGCTTTCACCTTGTAATAAATCCAATCTGCTCCTGATTAGTACAGTTTGCACTGCAACAGAATTGATACTTGTCCCCTACAATGCTTCATTTCAAAAGTTGCAAGAAGTAAAACTTGATTTTGAAACTCTCCATTCTGATATGCAACTCTGCCTAAATGGGCACAGAAAAAATGGAAGCAACCATGTGACAGAGGTCTTTTCATGGCTGTTAGCAATGCATGAGGAACAGGAATCGTCCTTGGAGCCAACAAAAATCACAATCTGCATAAACTCTTGGTATGCTACAAATATTCGTTTGAATGACTAAAGCTGCCCAATAAATGACAATCTCCTGACCTGGTCTTTTTGGCCAGAACGAGGAACTATCCAATGTCTGTGGGGCAGTGCATAACAGCCTGAATGACTATCAGAGAAAAAAAATAAATCAGACAGGTGAGAAAACCTCGGCCATTTGCTACGGTTTTTCCTAGAACTGCCTAGCCACAAGCCTCCCACACCACTACCCTAAACAGCGGCCTCCTTCATGACACTTGGTAAACACTGTGATCGTACATGCCAGCCCAATCGTTCTCTATTGTCTATAGTCAGCTTTAAACATATCTAAACCCAAGAATAAAATGTGTTTATTGCCATTTACCAGCCCTTAAATGTGATGGTCGCATAAAACTTTCTTTTCTGACTTTTTCCATTTATTTCCACCTGATGATCCTGCCAATAACACACTTCCAGTCTTAAGGTGCCCATACACCTGCCGATTATCAAACGATAATCGCGTGAAATCCCGCGATCGTACGATAATTGGCAGGTGTATGGAAGGCGTGCAACCGTTTCTACTGTACGGTCGCACATCTTTTGTCTTACGAGCACGTTGGAAAACCAGCCGAAAATCGTAGGTTTTCGGCAGGTTTGTTGCGTGCTTGTAAGACAAATGCCGAACGGGCCGGTGTGTGCAAGCGCATACTGCCCGCTCGGCACTGCAGTCCTCGGAAGCCCTCCCGTCAGTGGGGAGGACTTGCGATGATCGCAAGTACGATCTGCCTGTCCAAGATGGTTAGATCGTACGATTTTTTTATTACCTTACAACCATCACAGACAAAAGTCGTGTGAAGGTTGTAAAGTGTATGGCCAGCTTTAGAGTGACAATGCTCACTCACCCTTTTTTGTATCTATAGAGGAGCAACTTTGCCATTTTAGGTCAGGAGTACAGAACTCCAACCCCTTCTCTTAAACTACAAAACATTCCTAAAATCTTTTCAAACTGTTTAAGATCTTAAAGGAACATTTTAAATTACAGGGAAATTGGGGGTTGCTAATAATGACCACCTGCTGGAAATTATTGTCTGGTTGTCTCTGGTTTCAAAACTTTCAGGTAATGACCTAGAAAAGGTACAGTGGGTATAGAAAAGAAATCACCCTCCTTTGAAATAATATTTTATTGATTTGCAGACTGAAATGAAGGACAGACACAGTTTTAGTTTTATCCAGCTGTAGTTACTCCTGTATTTACATCCAAGTGAAAGATATAACACCAACATGTCAGAAGAAAATTCAAAAACAGAATCACAGAGTTGGAAAAAGGATCACTCCCTCCTAAAAAATTACTTGTAAACTCAATCAGGTGTAGCTAATCACCTTCTCATTGGCACACAAAGCCAGTTGACTTTCAACTGTGATCATCTGTGGTCATTTTGATTATTAAATGTGATTATTTTAAAGGGGGGGTGATTCTTTTCTATACCCACTGTATGTCGCAAGTGGCATCAGAGTGAAGTCATAATGCCTGCTCCCCCATCAGAAATTTAGAAATGATTTTAATCAATCTGTATAACATCTAGGCAGCTAGAATTTTCAAAAGGAGGTCGGCAATGGCAGCCTACATATTGCCCATGACAAGATCCCTTTAAAGTTTCATTGTTCGAGTGTATTTATTTTCTACATGTAACTGAATATGCATCCAGCAATCCTACTGAAAGACACAGCAGGCCACCTCTTTAAACATTAGCAGCTAATAATAAGAACAATAAGAAGCTGTTCACCATATAAACACTTTAATTTTCGATAAAGCAATGGAAACATTTATTGTGTTTCGTGTAAAGGTTTTAAATCATCTCATGAGGTTAACTTGAATTTTTGATTTACTGGTTTTCTAATACAGCAAAAATGTATACCATGCAGAGAGGTACTTCTCCAACGTGCACAACTGATGAACAATTCATGAGCTTTAATCAAGGTACATGAAATAAATCCATAAGCCGTCCCTACAGACTTCTCTAAAATTAAACCACGCTAGAAACCGGAAATTCTAAAGCAATAAGGCAGGCATTAAAGGATACTTGTGCTGAAAGAAATATATAGACTGCTAGTACTAATCTCTCCTGAAATTGCTGGTTCCCAGGCTGTCATACTGACCGAATGGCTCACAGACACAGTCACAGACCCAGAAGAAGCATACAGAGCAGTCGTTTCAGTTGCTTTATACTTCATTAGTGACACAAATGTTGAGGTTATCAACATGTCTGACAGCCAACTACCGTATTCAGAAAGAGTTCTGCCATGGCAGCCTTTATAATTTTTCTTATTACAAGCTTTCTTTGGATATATTTACTTTCACATATCTCAATGTCAAGTTTTGCAAAAATAAAAAATCCTCAACAATTCAAATATGCAGGCTTTTGTTATGGTAGGTATCTTGTAGATAGTACATGCAAGCATAGCAATGTATTATTCAGCAAACCTAAGCAGGCAAAATATTCTGGCTAATGGCTGTAAATGAAAATGATCTGTAGCCCATGTTACAAACTATAGCCAGCAAATGCTATCAGTGGCTACCCAATGTATAATGATCTATATAAAGTGGGGTCAACTCTGTTGGTGGAGCGCAGGCAGCCTGCCCCTTTAGTATGATGCAGAGATTTGATGTTCAGAAACAAACGCATGCTATTGTTATCAGTACCTGCCAGAAATCCTGATGAGAGAGATGGGGAGGTGGGAAAGGTTAGAAAGAAGATAGAAAAACCAGGTAACATTGGGTTACATATACACAATGTAAAAGTAAACAGCAACATTTCCTAACATGACAAACGATGAGTGAAGGATAAGTTGGAAGGTTAAATTGCAGTTTGGTTAACTATAACACTCAGTATAATACAAAGCAATGGAATGTATATATAAAAATGGTCTCTAGCATTGACCTGCTGTAAAAAAATATAATTAGGAAATTGATAATCCAGCAAGAAACCTGTTGAATTAGTAGTCAGTGAATTACATTCGATTCACTTACCAGTCAGTATAATTAAAATATGAGGATTCATTTAGTAATTGGTACTGAAAATGGGTAAAACATCATACACATTAGAGCAGTAAAGTCTACAATAATGTACAAAGTGTAATGTACAGAAAATGTAGTTATTTGCTGTCCATGGAGTGATAGACAGTTTTATATTTTGTTCAAAAGATCTTATCATATTTTCAAATAATTCCTGTCAAGTTCAAACATAGTAGTCAATAGTCAACACACTCCTGCTTGTACATATAGTTCTATTGATAAAAGTTTTCTTGATGTTGATCTCATCTCTGCTTTCTAGGAGACAGGCAAGACACTCACATTACCTGCAGCAGCAGAAGGAGCACAAGGCAGTTGCAACTCCATGCACATTGGAAGCAAGTAGCTCATACTAGACCTGAATGCTGGGCTGTCTGGAGGAAAAACATACTTTACTGGCTGCTTCGATGAGTGAACAAACGATGAGTGATATGGTTATAATTGCATATGAGGAACATTAATGGTGACATTAATGGCTTGCAGGTGTTAAATAGGTCTGATTATTTACACGAGGGCTTATGAGAATAATCTTTTCCTGGGTTTACAGCATTATGCCCATTTTTCCTTACATCAACAGGGCCTCTACAATGGGTAGGCATGGCATGGACAAAAACAACAAGCCTACATATGTACAGCATAGTTATAAGTGCAAGGTAAATCTACACACAGGTGACTAGAACTCTAAAGTAATGAAGAAACCCATCTGGCTATATGAACTCACAATAAACTACAGTTGCTGATGTGTTTGATAAACCATTTAAATTTGCAGTCAAGCTAAACCTTGTGAATATTTTCCAAGAAATGACTAAGAAAAAAGGAAGCTCAGATATCACCAAACACCTCTTCACCACATTAGCATAATATGACAGAAAAAAGCTGTATTTGTCTTCCCAACAAAGTAGATCTTAATTAGCTGAGTGTTCTTCGATCACCTCTAGAGAAAAATTTTGAAATTACTTCAAATATAAGGGCCTAGCTTCCTAACGAAATGCAATTTCCTATACTGCAATAATCCTGTTTAATTTCTGACAGAACCCAGAGCCAGAAAGTAGGTTATTATAATTTATTGTCAAAGAGTGCCGGGAAAAGAAAATGTAGTTTCTATGTTCCATAGCTATGCCCTATCCATGCGTGGGCACAAAGACACTGCAGCACAGACTGCAGAAGCAAAATGTCAAAGCAGATTTAACATGGGTAATGGGCCACCGACAGAATCAATACCATTTCAACTTCCCTGCAGCTACATGAAGACAGATAGCTGGTTGTAGTTCAACATCGCTGACCAATGGGAAGACCTAATAATGCCAGATGAAGAGTTTATTGGAAAAACAATTAGCACTAATACAATTAATTATGCACACAGCTGGTCTTTGTGGTGGTTGCAAGGAGAAAAAAAAATTATATGCTTGAGGGTATACTGCATTTTGAAATAATTCTATTCCATCTAAAAGGGATATCATATTCAAAGAATATTCATACTAATAACAGTAAGCAAGTGTGCCAGATGGCATTGTCATCTATTTTGATTTACTTCAACCACCAAGTTAAAGTTATTACAGTCATAGTGTACTGTGTTTTGCTCATCAGCGAAAAGGCGTTATATGACAATGGCCCTTCTGTGTTCTCTTCAAAATCTTTAATACAAAATCACCTGCACTCCATACAGCGTACAGACCTTGTTGAAAGGTTGGTGCTCGAAGTGACAATACAGATGGCGCCATGTCAGATACAGTCCATAATAGAAGTCACCAGTGTAATGGATGTGGTTAAGTGACTATGATAGAAATGCCTATTTCAATATATATTATAATATATATATATGTTATTGCTCCTGTTCATATTAATTCTTAATCAAAATGGCTGCCTAGTTAGTTGCTCAACTTAGCACCCCTCCCCCATGAGAAGTAAGCAGTAGAAATAGAAACCAAGATGGCGCCTCCAGGAGAAACAACACCCAAGACGAGACGTCAGCATCCTGGAAGGTTACACTTTAACGAATCAGTCCAATTATAAACTAGAAAGCTATCGCAAACGCTATGTTTACATATACACTATCAGCTGCCTATATAAAACACAACAATGCAAAACAATAATAAAGAAGTATTTTTATTCTGACTCTGTGTCAGCGTGTTTTATTTCTTCACTGATAGTGTGCACACTTTCTACTGAATTTGGCCCAGGGACAGATATATGTCGGATTCTTGATGTCCGAGTCCTTAACACCAGCACTCAATGATATGTGCAAGAAGTAAAGCACTTTTTATTAAATTGTCACATTCATCATATAGCCAACATTTGGGGCCTTCTTCTGGGCGACATAGTGACAAAGTCTGGTGACTTCTATTATAGACTGTTCAAAATCTTGTTACGGATCAAACGGCACTTGCAACTTTAACAACTAACTCCCAGACCAAATATACTTATCTAAAGCTCAACATACAAGGCTTGAATTCGAACAGTTCTTGCCCTGTCAGCATGTTGTAGGTGCACATGTCCTGATGCAGACCCGGGGGTGGGGTGAAACATGTAGATGCCTTCCTGTGTTACCCTTACCACCCTGCCATGAGGTCTGGCTGAGATGAAAGCTTGGTGCTGTTTTTTATGCATAGACATGTGACACCTTCCCCATCCCAGTGTGGTGTATAGAAATGCGTGTGACTTGTAAGAGACCAACGAGGACTTAAAGGGGAGTATACTCTCTCACTTCTTATATATGGAGTAATTTTTTCTGGTTACCAAGTGCCATCCACAGAACTGAGATACAAATGTATTGGGTTGATAAAAGTAGCCAGAGTCTCTATGAAATCTGCAGTGCGGACATATGCTAAGTATTCTACAATCTATCACTTTCTGCAGCGGTTTATATTTACGAGTTCATGCACTTTTACAGTGGACAAGGCCATTTGTCTATATCATTATTTGGAAGTCGGATCTATCAACATTTGTATTTTAATTACCCAGAAATAAGCTCTTCTGAAGGGACTGTGCACAATTTCCTATATTTCCATTCAAAGTGGAGCCTAATGTCTTGTATTTTATTATCTGGGAGTTGCATCCATGTCTATTTGGATTACACAGGAATAGCTCCCCTTGAAGGAATACATCTGCATATGCAACTTTCGAGTTTAAGGTGGAACATTTACCTGTTATCTGGGGCATTCAATTAAATTGTCATAATTTACCTCATTTATGACTTCTTGATAATTTTGGATACATTTTCAAGTTCTTAGGAAAACGTAAATTAGTATTATTAATATTCACCATTACCCTACAGCTCTTGATAAATATTGTATATGTATTTATTGCTGATTCATTTTGAATGCACTATAATGCACAGCTTGAGCGGGTGATAGGAAGGGATTGGTCGCTTGGGTGGATTTTTTTGGACACCATTGTCAGTTCTATAGTGGTGTGAATGGATGTATATGCATCGTTTAAATAATTTACAAAAAAAGGTTTATATATTTTGTTGGGAGGTATGCAGCTTGTGGTGTCTTTGGTCACAGTTTTCTTTGTCTACATATATGCCCTGTCAGCAGCAGACAAACTACACACTAATATAACTATATATAAAAAGTACATTAGCGCATTATTTCCCAGGAAACTGGATGCATTCATTAGGAATATTACAAACTTCACAGACGTATCCCTTCTACTGAACAAGGAAAAGCTTCTTAATGCTGAAAGTGGAGACTTGTTTAGGGAAGTATGAAGGTCAATTAGAGCCCTTCTTCTTCAAGGATCAGTATTAGTTTTTTTTCCATAACATTTAACAGTGGAAACACCCTTGTAATCACCTATTCCAGGTTTGTTCGATAGCAATCCTAACTGGGATTTGTAGCAAGGCAATTATTCCAAATGAAATGTCATTTACGCTTCAAAATGGAGTTAATAACCAAAGAATAATTCCCTTCAGTATGACATAGAATTGAATAATACCTTTTTGGGAAACAGGAAACTGAATATATTAAACAGTCAATATTATAAAGCCTTTATTTGCCACTTATTTTATCTAAAGATTTGCATTCTCAGGATGACATAATTAAAGCATTTATAACCTAAAAACAGGTAATTAGTAGGACATTTAAATTCTGCGGCGCGCTCAGTATATCGTGGGCAATAGCCCGCGATACACTGAGCTTTGGGTCACAGGAGGAGGTTAGTATATGTCCTCCCGTGACCCTAAAGAGAACTATGGGGAAAAACACTTACCCCGTAGTTCTTTTAATGGAGGAGCACCAAGGGCATATTTATAAAGCAGTGAATTTAACTTTCAGAAAACATTCACTGGTGGTTAATCAATGATCTGAATACTGAAAAATGGCCTGGCCAGGAAGGGGATCTAAACACCTGGTCTTCAAGCGGTTAATTAACATGCACCTGGAAGATTCAACTTTAGAGAATGTCTGGTGAATGTCAGATTAACAGCTTTATAAATATACCCTCCCCCCTGTTCTACAATATGGGACAGCATTTATTGGTCATTTGCAATCAATATGTAGCTTAAATCAAGAAGGAAGTAGTCAGACAGATTGGATTTTTTTTCTTTTTGAGCTTTAACAGTATAGAAAAAATGGAAGGAAACTCTGAAGAGTTTCAAAATCAAGTGACCGCTTTAAAGTCCTGTTCAGAATTTTTAGTAA